CACCCAAAATTAAGAAAGGAAAGGTTTATTTAGATCACAGTTAGTGGTGGTTTCAGTCCATATTTTTCTGGCTCCAAGGCAGATGGCAGCAGTTCATGGCAGCAGAAAACAATGAAGAGCAGCAGAGCAGGAGGAGCACCTGCAGCTTCTATCAAGCCTCTCTCTCTTCTTTCCATGCGGACTGCAAATACCAGAGCTCCTCCAAGAAAGTGGCAGTGGCTGCTTCAAAGATCCGGGCTCCTCCAAAGTGGCACAGCTGTTAATCAAGCTCCTCCAAGGAAGTGGCTTTACAGAAGCTTTCCTCAACCCCTTTACATACCCTTTAAGTGCTGAGTCACCCTAGGGCAGACCTTCCCGACCCTAGGGGTGGGGCCTCCACACCTAGGGTGTGGAGTTGCTGAGCCCATCCAGCTAAGCTTCCAAAGCCTTAAGTTGACGCAATATACTAACCATCATAATGTACCCTTTGTCAACTTAGCAACTACATATCTACTTCTTTAAACCAGTCTCCAGATACAAAGACACTCTTATTAACATTTCACAACTTGGACACTATAACACAACTTTAATAGTCCTTAAGAATCACTATTAAGTCTATCAACATTATATTACATGAGAAGTATAACATTCTCTCCCTGGCCCCCCAAAGACTCATGCACATCCCTTTATGCAAAAGGCACTTAGTCTTATCTACAAAAGTTGCCAAAGTCCTAACAGTTTTAGCATTGCTGAAAAGTCCAAGTCCCAAGATCTAAAGCAAACTCTTAGCTGTGAGCACCTGTACAAATGAAAAGTTAAATGCTTCCAACATTCAAAGGCACATGATATACATTGCCATTCCAAAAGTTATACACAGGAGGATACAAATCACTGGGACCAAAATGAGTTCAAAATCCAGAAGGGCAAACATTAAATCCTGTAGTTCCATGTGGAACATCTGAAGCAACCAAAGTGAGTTATGAGCTCCAAAAGCCTTATATGGCTGCATCCCTACGACATTTCTGCTGGTAGCTCCCATGGCTTCTCTCCTAGGCTGGCTTTGCTCCCTCCTTGCAGTTTTCTTCAGATGATCCATGTTCCTGACTTTTTCAAACTTCTGTGGTTTCCACTGAATAGGCTTCTCACTCACAGCTTTACACATTGCCCTCTCAAGGGCACAATGCCTGGCTTCCCAGGCCTTCTGAAATCTAGGCAGAAGCCATCTTAACCACAGAACTCCTGAATTTTGAATGTACCTAAAACCAATACCACATAGATGATGCCAAGATCTGACACCAGCTGGAGCAGTAGCCAGGATTTCTTCTCTCTTGGCTGTAGGGATTGAGAGCCTGAATCTCTGAGCACTCTGAATTTGATTCTGAGGAACAAATTCTCTATGCCACCACCATTCTGGAACCTTGTATGGCCACTGCCTCCATTCTGGAACATGGGGCTCTGTGGCTTTCTCTTCAAAGCAAAGTCCCTCACCCTTGTGATTCCAAGGCTACATAGGGTGAGGACCTGTCACCTTCCCTGATGCCCACAGGCCATCTTTTTTATTCTCCTGTTCCTCCTGAGCAATGGAGATCTCAGCTCTATCTTTGCAGTCCACAGCCTTCCTTTCTGGCCAAACTCAACATGTTAAGCCATCCTGCTGGGCTCTTTGCTCTTGACTCTCAACATGTATCTAACTAAAAGCTCCCACAATAGCCATGCCACTGCCTCAACATTTAACTGCCTTGAGATTTCTTTTGCAAGATTAACTAGTCCACTGTGCTTAATCTCAGTCTCAGGCAAACTCTCTGGATGGGAGCAAAATGCAGACAAATTTTCTGCCAAGCCATAACACAAATTATCCACAGCCTAACAACGAAAGCAGAGGTTCTTTACAGCAGAAACCTTCCCAGCCTGGTCTTTACAGGCAGGCTTTCCATCACACTTCTGGTCTTCTGAGCTCTGATCAGAATCTTCCATACAGAAGACCTGAAGGCATTCCAGCTCTTTGCTAGTAGGTGACATCTCCAAGTCTTTCCTATTTCTTCCTGTAAGCTATTCCCCAAAGCAGGTATAGTCACAGCCACAACCCTACCCCTCTGGTACCAAATTCTGTATCAGTTACTTTTTACCCATTTCTGGGACAAAATACCTGACACTCAAAATTAAGGAAGGAAAGGTTTATTTAGTTCACAGTTTGTGGTGCTTTCAGCCTAGACTCGCTGGTTTCCAGGCAGAGAGGTACATGGCAAAGAACAGCAGTGGCACATGGCAGTGGTACATGACAACAGAAAACAGCAGCAAGCAAAGGGAAGGGCGGCAGCTGCGGCTTCTAGCCAGCCTCTCTCCCCTCCTTATAAACAAGCTACCCTGGGGCTGCGGGTGTAGAACTTACATAATGTCCATGCCCTTCTCTTGCACAGGAAGAGGATGTCTATAAACTTAGAATTCTGGCTCTCTGCTTAGTCACTTAATTAAACTTCTAAGCTTCTCGGGTTGACACACTCTAAGTAAACCATCTAAGTACAATTTTTTTCCCAGTTTTTTTTCTTTTCTATGTTTCATTTTGGATATCATGTTCTGCTATGTCTTCATAGCCACACATCTTTCTTCTGTAATGTCCCTTGCACTGTTAACTTCATCCAGCACACTTTTCATCTCAGCTGCTGTACTTTCTCCCCTAGACCAGGGCTAATGAGTTTTCACTGCTGACATAATGCTGTTCTGAGTACTCTAACTGGCATGCTATACACTGGGATTTTTCACTTCTTTGTTGTTGCTATTTTCATGATACTGGGGATACCTAAGGTTTCCACACTAAGATACTTCCTCATCCTTTTAAAATTTCTAAAAAAACTTTTTAATTTGAAAAGGGGCCTCACTAAATTGTGCAGGTTGGGCTTGAATTTGTGATCCTTCTGCCTCAGCCTCCCAGAATCTTAGGATAGCAGGCATTCACCACCGTGCCTGGATATAGTGAGTTTTGTCTACTCTTTCCTGAAATACAAACTGTCCCTGGCCCTATATAATCTTGGAATTGTACTCTCTGTTCCTTCCTAGTGATTATGCCCCTGACTAATAGTTTCCTTAGATGCCTATGCTTATAACTATTTAAATGAAGACACAGTCAAGCTAAAGATGGTCAAGCTGTTGGCTGTGTTTTACCTGAAGGCTCCACTGGAGAAGCTGCTCTCACACTAGTTTACGTGGTCATAAGCAGGGTTCAATTGCTTGTGACCTTTTGGGCTAAAAGCCTCAGTTCCTCCTTAGCTGCTGTCTAGAGGTCTCCCTCGGTTTCTCGCTGTGTGAACCCTTCCATGGGGCAGGTCACAACATGCTAGTTACCTAATCTCAGAAGTGACTGCTTTTCAATTTATGATAGTCAGCAGAATTGCCTCTGTCAGTGCAGCCCCCACTCAACAGCATCAAAACCAGGAAGTAAGGAGTTCTCTGTGCCAGCAACATAAACATGTATTCCATGTTCTTCTAATTTTAACAATCAGTCCACATTACTCCTTTGACAATGTCTTTTTGCTATGAAGCTTTTACTGTGTGCTCTCTTTAGTCTTCATTAATCTTGACATGAGCCTAGGGATGATTTCTTTAGCATTGTCCTGCCTGGAGTCCACAGGGCATCTTGAATCTGTGGCTTAGTACACCTCATTAATTGTGGCAACAGTCATTACCTTCTCAGATATTATTTCTACCTTGTTCTTTCTTTCTTTTCTAAATCAGGAGGCACATGTATGATGATGCAACACCAATATCCAGCCTAACATCTCTAGTTTTCTTCTTCCTCCCAGATTTTGGCCACTGAAAAAAGTGTTACTGTTTTGTCTGTCTCTAGTGTAAAATATATTTTTTGTGTGTTGTTTTGTTTTGGTACTGGAAACTGAACTCAGGGCTTTGTGCTTGCCAGGTAGGTGCTTGTTGTGCTGAGCTATATCCCCAGCCCCATGAAATTTTTATATTTTTCCTAGCTCTTTTAGTTGTTCTTGCTGAAAGGCTGGCTTTAATCACTTCATCCTCATTTGCCACAAGTTCTCTATGTGAATGTTTAAGAATAAATTGCCTAGTTGCACACAAGTAACTCATTTTTTATTTAAGGCCTTTTTAAATGTATAGGTTAATTCAGAAAGAATTACCACTATTACAACAGTAGGCTTCCTATCCAAACATGTCTTTTCTATTATCTATACCTTTAGTCTCCCCTCTTAAAATATTTTATAGGCCCCGTATATTTCTTAAATTTATTCCCAGTAATCATATTTTTTTCTCTATTACAAATTAGGTCTTTTCTTTTTTACTTGTTAGTGCTATTGGTTTTATGTAGTACATTTTATTACCAGATGCCTTGCTGAATTCTTACATTGTTTCTAGAAGTTCCCTCTGAGGTGAGTTTTATTAACTGATTAGTGTACAGGCTGGGTCTTGGTGATCAAAATTTGCACATGGCCAGAAGACAGAAGCTGATAAGTAGGCTGTGCAGTGCTTTCTTGACTCCTGAACAAGGATGGGTATAGCCCTGTGCCTGTGTCTGTGTGTGTGTGCATATGTGTGTATGACAGTACATGCATGCACATCCCTGGCACCAGGGCAATTCTGAGGCAAGGAGGAATTTCTAAGGGACCTTAAAACTGGGTCTACAGGGTCTCACTATGTAGATTGGACTCATAGTGATCCTCCCGTTTACAGCCTCCCAAGAGCTGGGATTACAGGTGCACAACACGGCAGGGCCTGGGGATAAGATCCCCAGCCCCTGCATGAACAGGATATTTTCTACCATGAATACCAGGAAAAATTGACTTGTGCTGAGATTTACAGGACCATGTGAGATCCTACCTAGGAGCAGAGAATGCCAAGGCCAGGCCAGGCAGAGGTAAAAATCAGTGCTGACCCTGCTCCACTGTGCCCACACTGCTAAGAGCCTTTTTGGCTATTCAGACATGTGACACTAGAACACTTGAGTAAAGAAATGATACTTCACCTTAGAGACAAAAAAAATTAAGAGTATCTCTTTTACTTACAAAGGCCCAGTCTCCATGGAGACGTTGACATGTGCGCTGATTCTCAAATCTTTCTGGACTTTAGGGTTGCAGGCTTGGCTGAAATCACCCAGGAAGATCTTTCCTGGTATTATTTCAATAGGGTAGGGCCGGAATTCATCCAGTTCCTGGGGTGAGGGAAGAAAAGAGCTGTTATGAGCACAGACCCCATAGTCTCTTAAAACGTGGCCCCACAAATGAGCTTAGAAGAGGACGCCAGGACAGTGAATGAGGCTGAGTGCAGGTCTTTCAAAGAAATCAGGAAAGAATAACTTGAATGAGGAATAAAGGACGGTTGTAGCAAGAAGACTGAAACACAGCTTCTCAGCACAAGGTGCGCGCGCGTGCACACACACACACACACACACACACACCCCACCCCACCCTACAGGCACAGTTCTTCCTGTAAACCACTGTGCAGCCAATACCTGGGCTTTCTTGAAAATGCCTGTCTTCAGGGACCTGGAATGTCCCTTGATCAACACCCTTATTATAACCACTTTCTTTCCTACATAGCAACAGTTGCATGGGCAGGAACTATTAACTCACCCTTTTCTGGATCCCCTGCACCCTGAAGGGTTTAGAAAACCAGAGAGCCAAGAGTGGAGAGGGAGTCTAGGGCCATGATGCCCTACCCATCTGACTTGGGATACAGCTCCCACCCACAACTCCCCCTAGGACATTTTGCCACAATCTAACAGCCATGAACCCATCACCGTGAACTGAAGCCCCTGCCTGGCGCCTGGCTGCCCAGTCTCCTCCATTTCCTCTGCACCCTCCATTGCCTTCTCTGCTCTCCCACCTTCGTCTCCAGCCACACTGCTGCACCGAACCAGCCTGTGCTCAGCTCCTGTCTCACCTGGGGCATCCAGATGATCTTCTGGGTCCGGAAGAAGTGATACAGGCCTGAGAAGCGCTCATAGCCCCCTCTCAGGATGGACACAGGGTGGTGCGTGAACTGGGTCAGGACTCTGCCGAACTCCACAGCTGCTCCCTGCACCAGATCTAAGGGTGGAGACAGACAGGTAAATGCCCCTTGCGCTCGACGCTTATCTAGCGCTGGTATGTGCGCTGCTACTTCCTCTGAAAAGTGACTATTTAGGAAGCTGAAGCAAAGACAAATAGAGAAATATGCTACAGTTAGATTTTATAAAATTAGCAAATGGATCTTTTGGATAGATACTTATATAGCAAACACCCATTTAAAGGATATAATTGAGTGCTTTTTAGTCTATTCACTGAGTTAATAACCATCATCACAGTCAATTTTAGAACATTTTCATCGTCCTCAAAAGAAACTCTCTTCCATTTAACAGGCCCTTTTACATTAAATTCCCAGATTTAAGTATTCCAAGCTCTAATCACCTAATTTCTCTAAGGAGTTGATTATTCTGGACATTTCATATAAATAGAACCACATCATTAGTATGTAACGTTCGGTGTCGATCAGGCGCCATCGATGCTCCCCTCTTATGTCTGAATAATAGTCCCTTGTGTGGCCGCACCACTGTTGAACCCAAAGTGCTGATGGGCATTCACACTGTCCACTTCAGGCTACTGTGACAGTGCTGCTGTCACCACGGCACAGGTTTCATGCAGATGTGTTTTCCTTTCCTGTGGGTGTGTACCTTAACCCTCTGAGGAAACACCAAACTGTTTTCTTCAGCGGCTTCACCATTTTGCATCCTGAGTGGCCAAACCAGCAATTCCAACTCCTCTTGATCGTGCCAAGAGCAGTTCCCGTCTGCCTTTATTACGGCATCCCGGAGGCTTTGGAGCGATATCCCATCGTGGTAGACAGCAGTGAAGCGCCATCACTGACCTCAGCATGAACGTCAGACACACATTGACCAGGCGTCTGTAACAACAGGTCTGCATAATTAAGGCTAAGGCAAGATGCTCTGATCCGAGATCTGACCACTGGGAAAGAGAAATACTGGGATGGCCGCCTCAGCACAAGCCAGTGCTGAGTAGAACCTGACTCCTACACTGCATTTTGATCAGGGAGATGAGGCTGCTTCCTGTAGGTTCTGCGGTGTCTGGAGAGGCCACGTGTGGACAAGGCTTGGAGAGGAGCTTCAGGCGTCAAGATAGGAGCCAAAGCCCTTCCTGGGCCCAGCTTGGACATCTCCAAGTCCAGCAATGGGTCCCCAGCACCTGCTGCATCCCTTTTGAGCGAGAGATTGGGGTCCCGGGCCATGTGGCCACTGCCTCCCCCACGGCCATCTGCTACTGCTGCCTCACGCCTGCTGGTGGAAGGAGGAAGGACAATATCCAAGGGACAGTCAGGGACCCTGCAGAGCACAGGCCACCCTGCCAAGCAGACTCCAGGGAGATCAGGCTCCACTTTTAGAGGAAGAACTTCAACCATATTCACTATGGATAAGGAGAGGTTTTTCCAATGGAAGGTGGTAGTTAATATTTCTTTTGTTTGGAATTAGGAATTGAACTTAGGACCTCACGCTTGCCACACAGGCGCGGTACCATTGAGCTATATCCCTGCCCCACGTATTATTCCTAAAAGGTTAAATCCACTCATTTCTGCTTCCTTTCATGGATCTTCAGTTCTCAGCATGAGTTTCCCACACTCTGAACTGGGATATTTGCTGCTAAAGAGGCGGGACACTACCCAGAACCAGGGGTCCAGGGCTGGGGAGACAGCTCAGCGGCACAAGCATCTGTGCAAGGTCCCAAGTTCGACCCCAGTACCGCATGCTGCACCAGCACCAGAACCCTGGATCCCAGAGCAGATTCTAAAATTCGCTAGACCTTCTCCTTTTTCTCTGTAAAAGGCCATTTTATTATACATTTTCTGTAAATCTTACTCTCAAATATCATTGCAATTCCAATTCCTTGATTTTACCTTAGGATAAAATACTTCCCCCCTCCCCCACTTATGTTTACTCTATCCCTAATTAAACTCCCCTCCCCTACTACGACCTTTGGCCCAGTTCCTAGGACTGGCAGGCTTCACTTAGCCCATCCAAATCACCTTTATAAAACCTTAATGTTACTTCATTCCTTACTGAACAGTTCCCCTCCTACCCTAGCCCGAGACTGCTGGCTCTGCATGTTCAGGTCAGCAGCAGCCTAGATGGCCACTCCAGTCCCTCCCCAGGTCTGGATTTCCATGTCTTCTCGCCCAGAATTTTTCTCAGTTTTCTCCTCTCTTTTCCCCCTTTTCCCTCCCCTCCTCTCCCCCCACCCCTCCCCTCCCCTCCCCTCCCCTCCCCTCTCCTCTGTCTCTTCTCTTCTGACACAGGGTCTCATCATGTAGTATAGGACAGCCTGGAACTTACTTTGTAGTCCAGGCTGGCCTCAAACTCACAGCAGTCCTCCTCCTGCCTCAGCCTCCCAAGTGCTGGGTTCACAGTTTTTACAGGATTGTGCACACACAATTACCTACAGATGCTGGTGCTGACTTCTCTTCGACTCAGCCCTGTTCCTCAAGATTTCTCTCCCACTAGGTTGTCCATATGACACACAGGAAAAAGCCCAACCAACACCCATTTCCTTTTTCTTTCTTTTTTTTTTTTTTTTTGTTCTTTTTTGTATTTGGTACAGGGTCTCACTGCACAGATTGGACTAGTGGTGATCCTCCTGTTTTTTTTTTTTTGGCGGAACCAGGGATTGAACTCAGACCTTGCGCTTGCCAGGGAAGGGCTTATTCCACTGAGCCATCTCCCCGGCCCCCTCTTTTCTCTTATAATAACTAAAAGACTAAAATGGACCTGACTCCTCCAGCCCCCAGCCTGCCTGTCACAGAAGCACCACTCTCTGTAGGAAGCTGAGCTCAGTTCACAAGAAAGGAGATAAGATAGGACAAGGAATTTTGCAACTCCTGGAACATCTTGAGATACCCAAGAATTTATATTGGACACTTCAAGGACTCCACCCAAGAGATATATGATTGTCAATGAGCTTTGACCATAGATGTCTACTGGGATCTTCCCACCTAATGACCCCTACCTTCTCTCCATCCAAACAGGGACACTTCTTTTTCTTTACAGCAGGCTTTATCATGCCCTCTGCCTGCACCCAAGCACAATGAATTCCAGGCCACATTGTCTTTACATGAGCCTCATGGTCTCTGCTTGTTTTCCCCCTTTCCCCTGTATGTCAGAGGTCCCTGCTTGGGGGTGGGGGGCTTAAGTTAAATTTCTTGGGTTGCTTAGCCAGCCAGTGGTCATGAAAGTTACCCTCCACTGGGACAGGAAGTCCCCAAAGTTCCCTTTGGAGCAAGAATCTAGTTTGAGGGCTTAAAATCCATACTGCTACCAGGGGTGTGTGTGTGTGTGTGTGTGTGTGTGTGTGTGTGTGTGTGTGATGCCAAGAGCAGGGTATGTGTGTTAAGCCAAAAATAGGGTGTGTGTGTGTGTGTGTGTGTGTGTGTGTTAAGCCAAGAGCAAGGCTCCAAAAAAGACACCAGCTGAGTAGGGTGTGGGGGTACACACCTGTAATCCCAGCACTCTGGGAGGATGAGACAAAAAGAGTACACATTTAAGTCCTACCTGGGAAAGTTCATGAGACACTATTGTTATATAGAAATATTATAGGCAGTCAGACAGGGCCAGGCCCTCAAGGAGACAAGATGGAAGACAAGGTGACTTTGCAACTTTGGAAGAGACAGACACTCCCATAAGGGCCACACCTCAAGACAAAAGAGGAGGGGGCCCAGCCCTAGCTCAGTTCTTTAAGT